ATTTTAGACCTAAATAAGCAAGACTGGTACTAAAATATAATGAGTTTTTCCAAAGAAGAAGAAGAAATTGCTCATATTTCTTTAAAAGGATATAAATCATATGAGAACCATTACTATTAGAAAATATTGAATAATTAAAGAAAATTTTAAAAGGATTAATGCAACTGCAATATTTTCTCACTCCTTGCCCCCCAATAGGAGTGTCTAGAAAATTATCAGTGCAGGCCATGTTCCTTCCTATAATTAATTAAATGTATGAAATACTCTCATTACTTTTTTATAGATTGTACATGCCATTCGTATAATGACACAATCTTCTGATCTTGCATTTCAAGCAAGGTAGTGAAAAAATAGAACTATGAAAATACACTATATAGTATATCACCTTTATCTCTATTTTGGAAGAAACTTTATTTTTTTTTAGTCATCTGCACAATCTACCTATAGTTAAATGAAAATCAATAATTGGTGTTTTTATTGAACAAATATTTTCTTTTAGCTTTGCTTCCTATCATATAATTTTAAGCTCCTTAGAGCAAATGAAATATATTTGCTTCAAGAAATACATAAGCTTTAATAAGCATTTTTTGATTTAGCTTTAAAGACACTGAAGATTGAACTGAAGTCTTCTTCTGAGCTTGGACGGTTAAGAATATTCCTATGACAGATACTGTCCATTGTACAGACTGATTTTTAGGCATCCTATAAGCTTCTATCTTGAGAATTTATTTCCTCTTGCAGTAGTCCTTATCTTTTATAGAACAAATTCCTCACATAGCTCAAAGAACCTCTAACATGCAGATATGTTATTGACAAAATGATTTAAGGTGACTTAAAGCTACCTAAAGCACTGGAAACATCAAAAAAGACAAACGTAACTGAACAGAAACAGGATAGGAAGATCAAAGCAACAGTGATGAAGGATTTCTCTGTGCTCTGTTCCCAGACTCGGTTTCAAAGGAGAAAAGGCAGTTTGTATGATTCAATTCTTTTTATTAAATGTATTACAGCTAGGCTGAAACCTCAGGGATGAGAATTCAGGGAGACTCTTTTCTTTATTAGGTGAGAAGATAGCAACAGCAGATGTTAAAAATACAATATTTTCTGTGCTTTTCGGTAACATTCTCCTCAAAAATGAATTTTTCTTCAGTATTTCAATAACAGCTTCGTATGGAGATTCTTATCTGAGATTAAAAACTCTTGCTTCTTGTTATGAATTACCTCAATCACACAATCAAATATATAAACCAATATTAACAATCATGGAATAGGTGCTAATGTAACTATTAGGGAAAGATACAGTAGGTAATTAAGCATCTTAATTAAATTAAATATGAATATTTTAAAATAAAAGCATCATCATAAAACTAAAATTATTTAAATGACTTTCCATTGTGAGAACCCACACTGGTCTCCATTGAAACTGTGGGGAATATATAACTGAGCAGGAGATAGATTTAGTCACATACATATCTACATTCGTTCACACATATACTCATAGATGGACTTCAGGGCACCAAGCCAAACCTCCCAAAATTTGGAGTTCTAGCATTTAGGGGCAACCACTAGAAAGGCATTTTCTCTTTTCCCAAACAGGTAAGTCTTTTCCCACTTGAAAGGAAGAAAAGGGTTTCTTCCCAACATCTTAAAAAACAGGAAGGCCAATATGGAAAGAGATAATACCTAAATGTGTTCTGCTGTCAAAGAAATTTCCAAAGCTTGTATCTTCTGTATATTTTAACTTATTTAATTATAGTTCACATTTTGGAACAGCGATGGCGAACATTTTTTGGCTTGCGTGCCATAGGGGGGAGCGCAGGGGGGTCATGTGTGGGCATGCCACACCCATAATGCAACATGTGACCCCCAATGCACATGCGTGCATGAGAGGTGCTCCCCCCATTTTTGCATGCTTTTTTCACCCCCTCCCAGGCTCCAGAGGCTTTATAGGAGTCTGGGGAGGGCGAAAACAGCCCCTCTGCTCCCCCCTGGAGGCCCTCCGGAAGCTTCAGGGACCTTCAGGAGGCTTCCCTGAAGCCTCCGGAGGGCAAAAAAAGGATCCTACGAGCAAACCAGAAGTCATTTCCGGTTTGCTCGTAGGGTCGGTTTAAGCCCTCCGGAGGCTTCAGGGACCTTCAGGAGGCTTCCCTGAAGCCTCCAGAGGACTAAAAACGCCCCTAAACCGACCCTATGAGCAAACCGAAAGTGACTTCTGGTTTGCTCATAGGGTCCTTTTTAGTCCTCCAGAGCCTCCAGGGAAGCCTCCTGAAGGTCCCTGAAGCCTCCGGGGGGCTTTACCATCTCTACGAGCAAACTGGAAGTCTGTCCTGAACTTCAGGTTTGCCCATAGGGCCATTTTTTTGCACTCTGGAGGCTTCAAGGAAACTCCTGAAGCCTCCGAAGGGCCTCGGGGTGGTGGTGGTTGAGGGAGGCTCTTTTCCTATAAAGCCTCTGGAGCTTAGGGAAGGTGAAAAATGAGTTTTAAAAAGGCTGGACTCAGCTGGCCAGCACGCACATGTGCACTGGCCAGCTGACAGGGCAACGCCTCGCATGTCTTGACAAATGGCTCCGCGTGCTACCTGTGGCACACGTGCCATAGGTTCGCCATCCCAAATGTAGGAGATGACCAGGCTAAGCCAAGGGAGGGGTCAAGTGCGTCATTACTCTCATGTCCCTTGGAACCCACAAGAGATCTAAGTCCAGCCCAAATTCCATTGACTCTTGTTTACTGCCAATTTACTTTGATGGTTAGTAGTTCAGATACTTGTGGAAAATGTTAGCATGCAATAAACCTGTATTCATTTGAACTGTCTTACCTCCTGTTTTCCTGCCTTTGACACAATGTAACACTTTTGAAAATAGATAAATAAAATGGTGCTATCTTTCTTTTTAGATAATTGAATAGGATAAACTGTACAACTAGTATTACGTAGAAATGAAATTATACGTATTTGGAATCACCAAATAAATGGGTTGAATAAATATAGCAAACTTTCTGCACTGGAACTATATTTCATACATGTGTGACAATACCCGGACTATCAGATTAACAAAATGTAAAAATTCAGATTAGTCATAACTACTATATATGGTATATAGAAGGTTTATATAATTTTGCAAAGCATTTAGAAATGTTTCAATCCAATAATTCCTAGTGAATTCCATAGGAATTCAAATCAAAACGAGATTTTTTTCCCCAATCCATTATGATTTTGAGCATAAATGCTAAACAAATTTCTCTAGTTGAATGACAAGTGGGGTAATGTGTATCTCGGCATGCATGTATGTCTTTTTCACAAATCCAACTACAACTATGGAAGCAGCTTGTAATATTGCTGATCACATTTGTTTCCCTATATGTTATTGTTTTCAGTGTTCATAAGTGTGGGTTATGTATTGTAAATTGGCACTCTGTCTCAACTAGCTAGACAATAGATATGTACATTTGGTACATGTCAGGTACATGTCCTGCTTTTTGTTTCTCCAAATATTGTATAGATTTGTTCAATGAATATAAATGCTAGATTTCTTTTGAAAAGAGGCAGAAACTTGAAAGTAGTTGAATAGTCTATGCTTTGCATAAATTTGGAAGCTTCTAATGGGGATTAAAGGACACGGGAGGCTTTAAAAGAATCCTTTCAAAGAAAATCTCATTCATACAGTAGGAAGCCTTAGTCAAAGTTTGAGTTAGGGTTAGTTTGTTATAAGCCAAATGTAGGCATATAGGAAGAAGTTGGCTTTCATTTTATATAACTTAGTTATAACATTTGATCCACAATTGATTTAAAGTATGAAGTTTAAGATTATCTAGAGTCTCTACATTCTCTTTATGTAAGGATCTTTATGTAAGATCCTTGAGAAGACAAATTTCACATCCACACTTTCTAGTTGACTATAACTGGGAGTAGAGAGGGGGGAGGAGAAGAGACTGTAGCTATTTTTTAAAATTTCCTCTGACTTTCTCCATTGACAGACTAATGATAAAGGAGACCAAAAGAAATTTATAAACGAGTTGCATTTAGTACAAATGCATTTTTACTGTTATTAAAAATCACATAAATAAGTTTTTTTAAGAAGGCAGATATGTCAAATATTCATTAAAATATAAATTCCAGCCACCAAAATGATGTATGCTATTCCTGTAAATGATCATAAACAGAATGCCAGATTACCCTCACAGATGATACAAGGACAGATTGCACAGTATTTCACATTCCATGGTTTACTTAGATTTAAGTTAAGACTTGTATTAAAGTAAAAAGATAAAGTTTAAGAAAGCATTGCTTTTATTGCATTTGTTCCTAAAATGATTGCATTTTCTCCATTAATACACAGTGATCATATATTATTGATTGATTCAATTATATTCATTATTGGTGTGGTTTAAATGCTAATGGTCTTTTGAACCTGAGAAGAACTTATTTTACCATTCATATCTATTTCATAAGGTGGCTAATGTCCAAAAAGGCATCAATACGTTTTGCATGTTTTATCTCAAATGCCAAATTCATACAAAAGTACAAAATTATTCCAGAATCTTCATTCTCAGACTACATTTTTTTTCTATGGGGCCTATTAAGTCCCAAGTTTCTTTTTCCCTCAATAAAGTATTTACAGTTCCCAAGATTTAATTTGGATATCTAGGCTGAATGTAACTGAAGCCTAGGAAAAAAGCAATAGTTTCCATTCTTTGTTTTCTTATTTCCTCTTATTGTGGCCAGGGAGAAAAGCATAAATACTTAACAATTCTCTGCTGTTCCGTTCTCCACTGTGGAAAAATTCTGTGAAGAGGACAAAAGAACGGCTATGGAAAAATTATAATTACAAATCCAGAGCATGACTTCTATCACGGAGACCCTGGTTAACATTATATAACTGAGCTGAATTGACTGCATTGTCCAAGTTAATAGCTGAACTGACCCCCTTCTTTTTTTTCCTTCCCTTTTTTTGTTATCAATTCTGTTTTCCTTAATTCTGTTTTCTTTTATTGCTGTTCCCAGGGTGCTGGTTGCACTGCACTAGTGGTAGCTGTGGTAGCAAGAAAACTAGAACTTACCAAAGCTGAAAAACATGTACATAATTTCATGATGGATACCCAGCTAACTAAAAGAGTAAGTTATAATATAAATCACCTTTGGATATTTTTATAACAACATCTTGATTAATTCTGTTCTCTGATCAGGATACTTGTAACAACTGGATTTGGAAGGTTGAATATTCAGTTTTTAAGTTTTGAAGGATCATATCAATTTTAAGTACAGGGTCTAATGTCACGTGAGCAAAAACTTCTGAACAAAGAGAAAACATTCTGTTCCTGTATTTCCCCATCTTCTTCCTGCTTCCCCCCTCCCCTCCCCTCCCCTCACAGCTTTCTGGTGAAAATTACTACTGAATTCACCTTACAGTTTAAAAGAAGTTAAAAAAGAGCATATTAGAAAATACCAATCACGAAATCATAAATGATAGTGCGCATAAAGAAAGAGATAGAAGACATTCCTAAGTCCTTGTACTATTCTGCTGATGTGAACCACTCCAATCTACTCTGTGTATTTGGTCCAATTAGGTAGATTTGAAGAAGTTGTTATGGATGGAAGTCTCAGAGCATAATCCAAAGATAAGCATAAGGGGAGTGTGTGTTTGTGTGCATGTGTGTGTGCGTGTGCATGTGTACATGTTCCAGTTAAAAAATAATTTAAATTGCAGTACATGCATTGAATCTATTTATATGTAGCAAGTACATAGTGTTATGTCTGAAATGTACTTTCTGTTTGCAGATAATATTAAATAGACTTTTAAATGAAAGTGTTTGGAAACAGCAGTTACTGTTTTATTCTTCTGCATTCCAACTTTTAATTATAATCAGTTCTCTAGAAATATATGTAGAGCATGTTCCAAACCTTTAACTTTATTTCATCTTTTTTTCCCCCATGGAGAGAAAACACTCCATGGCAACACAAAATAAAGGAGAAATTCCTCCATATGGAGAATATGGCAGTAGGCCAACATGTTCATCACACAGGGGAGTCTGCAGAGTATTTTTTTTAAAGGCCACAATGGTACATTTGAAGCGCCACTCATATTTGTATGCGTGGCAGACATAAAAAAGAAGCAGAACCTTGATTACATATCAGCATGGTTGCCATCTTGACTTTTCTTATCCTCACATCTTTGCCTGTATCAGGCAACAAGGTGAAGGGCAACAGGTGTTTGTTCCTTGAAGAACCAACCAAAGGAAGGCATAAAATAAGAATAGTTGTTATCATGAGCCATCTAAAACACTTTTCCTCAGAAGGGTTTTCTCCAGTAAATGTTTATGATTGAAAATATGTTCAGGAAAAATCTTGGAAGGCATATAATTTGAATTCAGACATCCTGATGTATGTTTGATTTTGTTTTTGTTAAATAGGTGAAAAATGCAGCTGCCAATGTACTCAGGGAAACATGGTTAATTTATAAAAACACCAAGCTGGTAAAAAAAATAGACCATGCAAAAGTAAGGAAACATCAGCGCAAATTCTTGCAAGCTATTCACCAGTAAGTACTCTTTGATTTGTCTGTTTTGTTGTTGTGAGGCTATTGTGATAATCCCATAGGTTTGGCTTCCAGACAACTGCCTCAAATGTGACTTTCTGTTTATTCCATTTAATATTCCATAATGTTCCATATATGGTACTGCATTAGATACTGAGCATATTTGCCTATTTAATGGAGCTTTCTTCGATTTTCCTCCTATTTCATTCTTTGATATGCCCCAAATCTGCTCCAAAGGATTCTGTCCTTTGAAACAGATTTTGGGCAGGCTGGGAAGAATAGAAGAGAGAATGGGGAGGAATGATAGGTTGGATGATATATTGGCAGATTCCTTTTTCCAACAGAATGGCATGAATAAATAGTACTCTTTATCTCAGGAAGAAAGTTATTTCTTTCTGAATATGCATTTCTGCTGAAAGGAAACATAAACAAAAAGAACTCTGCCCCAAAATTCTGCAGATGGATATGCATTTATATAAACAGCCTAATCTACACAAGAATTATGCTATAGCTCTAAAACCAAAGATATCAAAGGCATGGCATGAATATTTGTGGTGGTAGGAGAAGGGAAAATGAATGGAAATAAAAATGTTGCATGCAGCCATATCCATCCCCTTTACCTGGAACTTTTCAATATGAATTTTTTTGATTACTTAAAAGCAAATGCATTTCATATATATGATTGTTTAGAGTATAAACTGTGCTAGTACATTAGATGACAGATAAGAATATCTGGAGGATCATCTTATCATTTAATGGGAAGTGTTTAAACTGAATAAATAATATTGGTATTATCCCTTAGGTTAATATGATCAAATCAAAATATTTTTATTACAGCCATTAAAGGTTCTGGCAATATGCCAATTGCATTTTATGAGTTAAAGCTGTGATGATTTGGAATGATCAACTTATTTAAAAAGCAATATGGCTAAAATCTAAAATAAGATTTATATTTGGTAAAAAAGAAAAAGAAACTTGTTGGTTCCACTTTAATATAGAAAATATAAGAACAAACCATGATTTTGAGGTGGAAACTTTGGAAATTGCAGGCTCTTTGCAAATAAAATAACAAAATAAAATAAAATAATAATAAAATAAAATAAATAAAATAAAATAAATAAAATAAAATAAAATAAAATAAATAAAATAAAATAAAATAAAATAAATTAAAATAAAATAAAATAAAATAAAATAA